TCTTGCATGTAGCTGTGCAATTTTCCCAGCACCACTTACTGAAGAGACTGTCCTTCTGCCACTGTGTGTACTTGCCTCCTTTGTCGTACATTAATTGACCGTATAGGCAAGCCATGAATTCTTGACATTTGGGAAAGTTATGTCCCCATGTTTTGAAGAATCCCTACATTCATTAAACAGAGTGTTTGGAGAGCCCTGTTGTTTAAAGCACATTTCCATTGAAGTTCCTGTTTTCTGTTGCTGTTGTTTTGAGCATGTCCTCACACTGTAATTTACCTGCATTTTAAAACCTTGCTCATGTGATGAGCTGTTTTGCAGTGGCTAAAACACACAAATTGCTTTTTTAAATTATTAAGGTTGGATTATTGAGGTATAATTTACATATAGTAAAATTTACAGTGTATAGTTCAATGATTTTTGATAAGCGTATAGTCTGGTCACCACTACCATAATCAAGATATAGAAAGTTTGGTCTCCCCAAAAAGTTCTGCTGTCCTCTTTCTAGTCAACCTTTCCTTCTACCCCCAGTCATTAGAAAATACCTGTTTTCTTTCCCTGTAGTTTTATTTTCCTGAATATCATAAAAACAGAATAATATGTGGCCTTTTGAATCTGTCCTTTTGCACTTGTCATAATGCACTTGAGATTCATCTATGTTGGTGCAGGTTTTAGTAGTTTGTTTGCTTTTATTTGCTGAGAAGTATCCGTTGTACGGATATACTACAGTGTCTGTTCTGTTCATTCACCAGTTAAAGAACTTGGGTTGTTTACATTTTGGAAATTGTGAATAAAGCCACTCTAAACATTTGCTTAACAGTTTTAGTGTAAATGTATGTTTTCATTTTTCTTAGGTAAATACCTAGGAGTAGGATTGCTGGTTTGTATGCTAAGTGCATGTTCAGCTTTTATAAGAATATGTCAAACTATTTTCCAAAGTGGCTGTACTATGTTGCGTTCACTCCAACAGTGTTTGAGGGTTCTGGTTGCTCTGTGTCTTCACTAGCACTTGCTACTGTCTTTTTTTTTTTGGTAAACTGTGTCTGTTCGAATGACGTGCGGTGGCATGTCACTGTGATTTTAATTTGTATTTCCCTAATTACTGATGATGTTCAACACCTTTCATGTGCTTATTTGCTATTTGCATATCATCTTTGGTAAAGCATTTGTTAAAATCTTTTGATTATTTTTTATACTGGTTATTTTACTATGCATTTTGGGAGTCTTCTATGTATTCTGGATATAAGTCCTCTATCAGATAGGTGTTTTGCAAATATTTCTTCTTAGTCTATAGATTCCTTTTCAAGTCTATTTTCTTGACAGTGTCTTTGGAAGAGCAGTTTTGAATTTAGATGAAGCCCCAAACTGCTGTTTAAAATCAGTTTCCATATAAAGGATATCATAGACTTATTGATCTGAAATTCTGAGCCAACAGTAAATTTTGAGTTCTACTTTTTAATTTAGCAAAAAAATGTGTTCTGGCTTGCAAACCATCACTTTTTTGCACTCTTTGTTTTGTTTGTACTTTTGTTACCAATGGCCTCCTTTTTTATAGCCGGAGAAACAGTTTTGTCTTATTTGACTACTCCACCTTAAATTGTTGCATATGTGACAGTGACCCACAAAACTGCAGTGGGGTGACAATACCAGGTTGTCAGCCAGGCCCACTCACTAGCCAGGTGGCTTCCTCACGTCATCTTTGTAGGGTGTGCTGCAAATGTGTGTGGGAGTGCAATTACAGATCACTGCATTCCAGCTAGTATGGGAGCCCCTCGAGGGCAGGGACTCTTTCTGTTGTGTTGCTAGTCCGAGAACAGGGCCTAGAGCTCGGAAAATAATGATTGAATGCTATTCAGCAGCCTTCAAGAAGGGCAATGCAGAATGTCCCGAGGCATCCAAGGCTCTGGCTCTCTGTGCAGCTGAGGACCAAGGCCAGTGCTGTGAGTGGCAGAGCAGAGGGACAGCCCCGAGCCCTGACGTGGGGGCCTCCCCAGCACAGATCTGCTTTCTGGAGCGTGGAGAAGAATCCCAGGGCCCTACCTTGGCTGCTTTCCTTAGGGAGGCCTCAGGTTCTGAGGGAGGAGCTCGCTAGGGACATGGCGTTCTGAGGAGGGCATGCCCTAGGCAGCTCAATCTCTGTAACTGGGCAACTTTAAGCCATTTGTGGAGCTCTGCTGTTGCGCCTTCTTCTGACTGCCCCAGGGGTGGCATAACCCTCCCCACTGTGCCCCCCACCCCCAAATGGTGGTGGGATCAGGCCAAGGCTGAAGTCACTGGCAGAGCTGAAGCCAGGCTGTCTGTGGTGGAGCCCAGCTCATCTCTACCCTGTTGCCCCACTTTTGTCCTCGTACTATTTTGGCTCACAGAGTGTGGTTTCAGCATTTGGGCCAGCTTTTGATCACGACACACTTCCATCTTTTAAGGGCTGAGTGAGTCCTCCAAGAGAGGAAACTGCTGAAGAGAAGATTCTACTCAAACATTGAGGCTTCTTCTTCCTTCTGAGAGTCTTACTTTTAAGGTAATTCAAGAGGAAAAAAGTGGAAACTCCAGATTTAGGGCAAGGGAAGAATCTGGGGAAATTGTGTGTGTGTGTGTGGGGTGGGGGTGGGGGGTGCTGGCAGGGGTGGCTGTGGGCTGCAGCCAGGGAAGCAGCGGTTCATGTCCACTGGTCCCAGCTGCCCCTGGTTTGTGTGTGTGTGGGCTGCAGCCAGGGAAGCGGCAGTTCATGTCCAGTGGTCCCAGCTGCCCCTGTTTTGTGCGCTCATCCTGGCCCTGCTGCAGCCTGTCATTCAGGGCAAGCTGCTGTCATTAGTGGTTAAACATTTCTTAAGGTTCTCTCTCAGCTCTGACCGCATGCCCTTTGAGCGGAGTGGGGGAGGAGCCAGGAGACGGGCGGGCCGCACCCTGCTGCCCTGCCCAGCTGCCCTGCAGAGGGAAGGGAGCCCTTGACTGGAAGCCCTCTCCGGCCTGTGAGAGCCCCTGTGTGACAGGACTGACGGTGCATTTCCTGTGCTGCCCAGGTGGCCTGCTGCTGCTTGAGGGACGCAGCCCTCCGCTGTGGTCTGTGAGGACCGAAGTCAGAGAGGCTCTCATGTCCTTTGAGGGGGATTCTTGGCTGAAATAAACTTTCTATTAACCAGCTTTCTCTCTCTCAAGCTCTCTGCCCTCAGCGCATATACACGCTTTCACCAGCGCCTGGCGACCGTCTTTCCCTTGGAACAGTCTGTGCTCATTCTGTTTTCAATGAAGATCTGTGGCAAAATGCTCAATGCTAATACTTCTTCCCATGAAGTGGGGACTTTGAAATATTTTTCTTGACTGAGGTGTGGTTGACAGCTTTTGATTTATGAAATTAGCTCAGGGAAAAATAAAATGGAAAAAGAGAGTCTAAATTAAATCTTTATTTCCATAGCTCAGTCATGCCCACTCTGTCCATATTTAACTGCCATGCAGTCTTTGGGCATGAAGAACTCCAGCGTTCATTAGGTGTCCTCTTTTCTTTCTTTCTTACTTTCTTGTAGTTTTGGCCAAGAAAAACCTTTTTTTAAAAATTTTTTAAAAATTGTGTATTTTCCTTACCCAAAAGTATACAAGCTCAGTGAAAAATACAAGAAAAGTCTAGAAAAGCACCAAAGGAAAAGTTAAGGGCATCCATATTGCCAACACCCAAAGATAATCTCTGTTAAAATTTTGGCTTATGTTCATCTTGTTGGAAAAATCAGTTTCTTGTGCTAGAGAAGGTAGTCAGTGGGGGTGCCTCTTATTCGCCAAGTTCATTGTGCTGCAGTGTGGTCCCAACACACTGGGCTGGAGTATCTCACCAGCAGAGGTGTTTGGGGTGGCTGAGTGACCAGTAAAGGAAACCCTGGGAGGAATTCAGCTTAAGTCCAGGCCCCCCACCCCCAGCCTCCAACCGCAGAGCATGGGCTCTTGGCCTTAGACCACCTGGATTTGAGTCTTTACGCCATTGCTTACTTTCTCTGTGTCTGTTTTCTTATCCGAAAAATAGGCATAATAATAGTAAGCAACTTCTAGGGGCGCCATGCTAAATGAGATAATGTACGTACAGTTCATAGTACACCACAGGCATCTGGAACATTAAGTTCCAGCCAATGCATCTTACCTACTTCCGTAGTCATTATCGTACTGTTGTGGTCTTCTCACTGCTCCGTGTTGTGTAGTACACAGATGGTTCTCTGGCCCTCTGTTTCTGTCTGGATAGGGGTGGTCTTTTCTTCACTGGATAATGTTTAAATCATCTCACTGTTGTAAAGTATATAATGACTAAGTAGTAGAATAATGTCTTTTGGCAAAACAGGAAGGCCATCCGTATTCCCAGCACCTGAAGGGTTTTCTGGAGGGAACAACAGTGATGTGAGAAAGCATATGCTGTTGTCTTGTGTCCTCCGGAGATGTCAGGGAGCTTCTCTGCTCCTGGGTTCCTCCGTGTCCCTTGTTATATGTATCCCTTTATGGTTCTTTCCCATTTACTTGGATGGACAGTTGAGTCATTTCTTCTAGGTAAACATGTCAACATATGCATTGGCTAAGGTTGTCTAATGCCCCTTGACTTCTCTTCCCAAGGGAAGCATGTTTTTAGCTATAGAGAAATGGATTTGCATAAGTTTGGGGCTCCTTTTACCTAATGGGAGAAATATGTCATCTGTAGTCTATCCAGTGATTTTTGTTTCTTACATATAAGCCCCCCAAAATAATGTGATGGCCACCGGATATTTTGCCAGTAATTTCAGATGTGAGGGCAATTCACTTTGGATTTGTTTACTTCAGTGGAAAAGCCCAAAGTTGCTTTCTGGGCTTTTAACCAAGAAGGAAGCTTACCTGAGTCTGTTTGGAGCAGCTTCTGTTGTGAAAGACTAGAGAGGCTATTCAAGGTCTTATTTCCAATAAATAGTGAGAGAAGGAAGACGATGGCTTAGGTGGGACACACTCTGTTCTTTTTCACAGTGACTTATATCTGCCTGCTTTATACTTTGAATTTCCAGGGCGCACAGACATTCAGGTGGTTCAGCCAGAACAACCACAGCAACCGGAGAGCAAAGCCCTGGTACTAGTAACCGGCACCGCCAGCCCGTCAAGAACCCAACCCACAGTGGCTTGGCCAATGGCACAGGTGAGTGACAGCGCAGAACACCAGCCCGGCTAAAGCAGTGGCTTCTGCCCTGTGCTCACACGGAGCCTGCTACGCAGAAGGTCTGGTGGGCAAGAGCATACTATAGCACAAAGATGAATTTGAATCCATCGGTCTTCCATTGACCCATCTTCTTTTCCTGCTGGCATATTCTGTAGAGCCAAGGTTATTCCCCATATGACAGCAGTCTTCTAAAATATTCCTTTAGACAGAAATAAAAAATACTAACTTTTTAATTAGTTTCTTAACAGCATTGGATTTCATGGGGTGGGGTACGAGGGGATCTTATTTATACATGACACTTTAAATTTCCTTAATAAGGAAAGGATCAGACAAAGGAGAAAGGAGGCTGGGTATTGCTGCTAGGAGCTTGGTCAGAGAAGATGGTAGCACTGAACACTTGGCATACTGACCGGGGCAGAGCTCAGGGCCACTGGGGAGTATTCTGTGGCCATCCCAGCCCAGTGTTGTCACATTCGAGAGTAGCTCACCGTTCCACATACATGTGGAACTTCTCTGCACTTGGTTCTGCTTCCCTGGAAGTGGGAAAGGAGAGGTCTGTTTCAAAATAAATCAGTTTTCTCATGCTTTCCATCGGTCTCATTGGGATAGTGTAAAATCGAAAAGGAAAAAGGAAAAAAAATGCTCATTTTTCTGAACATCTTGAAGATTTATCAAGTAGTTAGTGACTGTTGGACATTGGTAATTTTTCTTAATTTGGGGCAGTTGGGAAGGGCCGTGGAGGTTTGCTGTGATAAACTGTAGGTCGAGGAGATGCAGGTGTTTACTCAGTAAGTGACATAGATAACTTTGTAGTGCTGTGATGGCAGAGATGCGGTGTGAGGGATGGAGGTCTGGAGCGGCGGAGCTTCATCACACGGTGGCCTTGGTGTCATTGTCACTGCCCTATGTGTGACAAACCCACAGAGGAGGAAATCGATTTGAGTCGCTTTCTGCCGACTTTCAGTTCCCTGGCAGCACTGTGTGAGGGCTGCAGAGCCCTCTGAGGACCTGTGGTGCTGAGCTGAGCTGCGCTGTTGTCTGGAGTGGACCGCCGGGTGGAGTGTCCTGCACCCTGCAGGGCTCAGTGCATGTGCAGGGTCCTCTCTCCTTGGAGTCTGGGACCCGCCTGTCGGGACTGAGTTCACCAGCACACTGTAAGCCTTCAGGACGAGGATGAGGTGGAGGTGAGGAGTATGAGCAGCTGCCTTCCCAGCTTGCTGGTGCTCCCTTGCCAACACTGTGTGTGCTGCAATGTCAGCTTGCAGAGGCCATGGGTGGCCTGCCTTTCCGACTGTGGGGAGGGGTAAGGTGGTGGCTATGGACTGTGTTCCAGAAAACCAGGTGCAGCTCTATGAGCATCAGTAAACATGCTTCTCTTCGAAAAATAAGTCGCTTGTAGAAGAGGGCGAGCAGTAACAAACGGGGAAGAGGAACGGGCTTGTTGGAATCAGTTATTTCCTGGAGGCCGTGGCTGTGGTGCCAGCTACCTAGATTTTCAGGGACCTACATTACTGTAATACTGGTTTTCCTTAGCCATCTCTGCTTTTCTTATAAAAACTGTTGGCAAATTGACTTTATGTGGCCACTCTTCTTGGATTCTTAAACAGATCTGTGTTTTCCCTACGTTTACTTGTAGGTATCTTTGTATATTGTCTTTATCTCCAGGAACACTGTGTTTCAGCAGACAAGGCAGGTGCCAGCTCTTCTGCAGAAAACCAAATGTACCTTACCCCCAACTGCCTTGAAAATGTTTTGTGGTGGCATCTGAATGCCCATACTCTTCTGCAAACCCATCTGTGAAGGAGAGTTGCTGCATTTTAGGAATGGATTTCTGCCTGTTAAAACACTAAGACCCTGGTCACCATCTAAGACCACATCTCCCTCCTTTCTGCTCTGATGACAGCTCACCTTTGCCTGAAAGCCAGCCTGGACTGTGGGCTTTTTCAAGTCTATCCAAGGGGTCTAGCGAGATCTCCCTTTCCTTGGGGAGCAGATAGAAGCCCCCCTCTTTGGAAGCACAAGATCAGAAGGGGGTTTGAGGATGTGAACATGAACATCCTCACCCTTTAATACACTGCTGTTAGAACAGTGAAGACCAGTTCCAGAATGGTGGTGGTGGAGAGCCATGCCTCCAGGAAATGCTTCCACAGACATGAGAGATTTATTTAGCAAGCCTTTTTGGCTGTGCTCTATAGTTATGCATGAAAAAGACATTTGGGGCAAAACAGAGCCAAGTTTCAGGTGGTTTTTTCATGTTGTTGCGACTGTGAAGTATCCATTTTTGTGAAATGAAAGTGAATGGCAGCCTATCTATATTAATATCTCTAACTTTTAGAAGTGCTGGGAACCGAGAAGTAGACTAACGGTATAACACTTCATCAAGACTTGTGTGCAGTGACTTACTTTCTAATTTTTTATTGAAAACCTTATCTAAAAAGAGACACCTCTCCCTCCTCCCTTAAATGTGGTTTCCACGCATGTAGGGTTGGGTGTCACCCTGATGGCGGCTGTCAAACTCTGATCCCTGTGTGCAGTATGTGTATAAGGCCAGTGACTTGCTGGGCCTTAGTTTTCTCATTAATAAAATTAGGACAAGAGTATATATCTTATAGGGTTGTTAGAAGGAATAAGTTATATGAAACAGGTAGCATGCCTGGGTCACAGTAAGTTCTCCCTCAGAGTTAGCTTCTGTCTTTATGAATGATTTCATACAGTTATGATTACACAGCATGGATATATGTCCTTTTTTTAAACTTTTTTTTTATATGCGATTCCATGTATCTGCTCTTCTTGTCTACTTTTTTTTGGTGGCCTCATAGTATTTGACAGTTGATAACCATTCCTCAATTCTTGTGTGTTTCCCTAGTGTAAAATGAAATCCTAATGTGAACATCTCTATACACTTTTGTTTCTTTTTGAATGAAATTCTTGAGTCAATGGATATGAATTTTAAAAAATGAGATCTAATGTATGTATTACCCAATTGCCCTCCTAAAGGACTGAAGCAAGTCATATGTCTCAAAGCTGTGTAAGACTTTCAGCAAGTGATATATGAGAATGATTTTTTCTGCAACCTTGTAAATACTGGTTTATCGTTTTGCTATCAGGTATTCAGTGCCCCCTCACTGTTTAACCTAATTGCATTTCTCCAATCATTAGTTGCTGGGCTGTTTCTTTTGTGTGACTTTTCTTTCATCATGTCTGAGTATTTGTCCTTTCGAGATTTGGAGGTTTATTTTAGAGATTTATATATTCAAGGTACAAATTTGTTTGTTTTTTAATTGTGGTACAATATACAGAATATGAATTTACCATTTAAATTTGAAGTGTGTAGTTCAGTGGCATTAAGTACATTCACAATGTTGTGCAAGTATCAGCACCATAGTACACTTGCAGAATTTATCAGCCTGAACTGTAACACTATGCCCTTTAAACGATGACATTTTCCTCTCCTCCTGTCTCCAGCCCCTTTTCTACTATCTGTCTCTGTGAAGTATTCTGTGTACCTCCTGCAAGTGGAACAATTTGTTCTTTTTCCTTTGGCTTATTTCATTTAGCTCATGTTTTTGAGGTTCATCCATGTTGTCACACGTGTCAGAATTTCAGTCCTTTTTAAGGCAGAATAACGTTCCATTGTGTGTGTAGACCATGTTTTATTTGTCCGTTCATCTGTTGATAGACGTCTGGATTGTGTCCACTTTTTGGCTCTTGTGAAGAATGCTGCTGTGAACTTGGGCATGCAGGTATCTGGATGAGCAGGTATCTCACGAGCAGGTATCTGCTTTCAATTATTTTGGCCGTAAACCTGGGAGTAGGGTTGATGGTTCTATGTAATTCTCTGTTTAATTTTTTGAGGAACACCTCTAAATGGTTTTCCACGGCAGCTGCACCATTTTACGTTCCCTCTAGCAGTGAACGAGTGTTCCATTTTTTCCCATATCCTCGCCCACACTTGGTTATTTTCTGTGTTTTTGGATAATGCCATCCTAGTGTGTATGAAGTGTTGAGGTGCAAGTTTTATCTGTTGTTAAGTTTACCCCCTATGTTATTGTTCCACATTTTACCTCATTTTCTGTGGTTTGTGTAGAAAAGGAATTAAAGATTTTAAAAATAATTGTTCCTGAGAATTTTTTTTTTTTATGTATGTAGTTTCACCTTTTGCTTCAATGGTGGATATATTCTCTCTTGTCTGTAGATGGAATAAATACTTTATTCTATGTACTTTATTTCCCTCCTGGTGTTGTAAAAGAACTCCCCACTGGAGTGTATGGTGGTATATTTGTATCTGTACATAGATAAACATAATGAGGTCTAGGTCTAAATTAATTTTTCTCTGTATTAGGGTCCTGTTATCCCAGAAACATTAATAAGTGTTTTTTTCTCACTGTGGTTTAGTGTTTGTCACCTATCATGTTCTTATATGCAGTGAGAGTTCATTTCTGAGCACTGATTTCTAGTTTTGAGCCAGGCCCACGTGATTCTGATAATCAGTGTGTTATAGTATGTTTTTCTAAATGTCTGGGAGGGCCAGTCCTGCCTCATTACTTTTTCTCTGGGATATTCTTTGATAGTTTATACATTTTCAAAACAAATCTCAGATTTTGAATTCTTAGAAGTGTGGTGAAATGCGAATAGAAATTGGGTGAATCTGCATATTGGCCAGGGAAGGATTGGACTTTCCCACTAGGTAACATAGTGTGGGTTTGTCCATTTTTAGTTTTTTTTTTTTTTTTCATCTAATTTTTCTTCCTTTTTTCCATCTGATTTAACTATTTTTCTATACATAGGCCTGACCCACCCTGTGTCATGCTGATTATGAAAGATTTTTCTAGTTTTGGTTGCTCTTGTGAAGAACTGAGCGATTAGTCAGTCGCCTTGGGAGTGTGTTGTTTTACGTGTGATGGATGAGAGACGCTGACTGCTTTCCTGGGGATCCTATGGTTCGAGCTGATCTCTTGTTTAAAAAGCTTCTGTTGGTG